TTTTGTTGTTGCATATTTTTTTCTTGCTCTTTGTATACTTTATAGTTAAAGCAAATGTGATAAATGTGAAAACACTTAGAAAAATTGTGTTTCCTGTTTTGTTTGTGTTATTAAGCAAGCAGTTATTAGTTTGGGGCCAACTGAAAATATACCATGTGCATCTGATGATATGACAAATTACAAATTAATTAGAGTTTTGTTTGTTGTGTTTGAACAAATGGTACATGAATGTTTGTGTAAAACCAATAAAAGGATCTACAATTGCTTTTTTCAGATATTTTAAAGTATTGGTTGGTTGTATTAACTATTATGATTTTTTGTGCAAAGTGCTTTGAAAAAATTATTTGCATGATTTGTAATTTGTATTAAATGAATGAAAATGTACAGTCTTACAGGACAAGTGTTCAGATCACTGTGTAAACTGTTTGAGAAAAGTGACATGAGTTTGGAGAAATGTGTCAAATTGATTGAGAAAAACTGTAACTTTTTTTTGTGTGAATTAAAAGAATTAATCATACATAAATAAATCATACTTTTGAGGAAAACTAATTAAATGTATACTCACACAAGATGAAGACTTATTTTCATATCAGTCTTCAACAAAAATCGGTTTTATTTTACATACATTTTTAGACAGTCACAATCATGAACAGCCATGTTATTGACTAATCTACTAATAATATTGATACATTTCAAATGTCTTTTTAAAAATATATATCTTATTTTTGTAGTTACTACTGACTTGGTGACTGTTTTATGTAATGTTTGTTAAGAAAAAAATATATATTCATACGTTTCATAATATTAATGTTAATATATTATTAGCACTTTCACACGATGCTAATTTTGATTGAAACCAAAAATGTTTTGTGTAGAATGAGAAAAGAAATATAAAAGGAACAAAACAAAAGGTAAACTGCTTCAGTGTGAAGCTTTACATCCATGCCAGAAAGTGTCATTACAAAAAGCCCAAGACCACTGGGACGAAGAAAAGCCTGCACAACATAAATAAAATGAATTGTTCACAATAATATCAATGACATGCATTTAGAAAAATTTGAAAATGAATATGCATTTCATGCCAACTTTTATGTTTGGCTAAAGTTTATCCATCCCACGTCATTTGCAAGTGTACAGTCATAATGGTATAGTAGCAGACAGTCAAAACACACAGGGGACTTCTTCTATGCTTGCACTCTTAAATATTGCAATTAAGGACCACTGCCTGGAGGAAGAGCGAGAGAAAGAGAGAGAGCATAAAAGAGGGAGAGATAGTCCTGATGAGTGCTCTAGTGAAACTGTGTGCCAGTCATTAGCAAAGCATTCTCCCAGTGGGGTTTTATCGATTTACCATGACTAATGGATGGTGGGGTGGAGAAATCACTTTAAATTAAAATTAGGATTGGTAATACATGCAAATTCAAATAATGCTTTGCACCCAGTGAAGATAAATTGTGTGAAATGCGCATGTTTACCTCGTACTTGTACGACCAATTGTCTCCTGTTTTCCTTATACAGCCTAAAATCAGCTCAGATACACAGCTGAGGGTCGGACAGCCCCTCCAGCTGCGATTTTGCTGGAAATTTCCTGTCTGTTGAAAGTATAAAAAATCGATTTCACTAAATCTTTGCTGAGAAATCTCTTATCAATCCTAAGGACCATGCTATTTGTCTGGTTATTTTCTGAGGCCGGAGCTGTCTGGCGCATCTCAAGCGAGGGTGGGGTTCATTGTGGAGGGTACTACGGTATGATGTGCTGATGAGATTTCATTTGTCACTTCAGTTAAAGTATGGATTCTCTGACAAGCATTATTTCTCATGGAGTCATTACAGTCTCAAGGGACATACATATCTCTTGAAAAAAATTGACAGTTTTTGCAGCAATAACATCCAAAGATACAAGCAAATCATCTTTTTTTTTTCAGTCCAAAATATTCACTGTAGTGAAGCCTAACCTCTTTGAATTAATCACAAAAGATTGGGTGCAGCATGCAAATGAGAAAATTAATTATGCAAAACACATGGTAAGCAAGTCTCTCCCTCAACGAAGATGGCAGGGCTTATTTAAATATTTGAAAAATATTTTTGCCCAGAGTTCTTGTGCTATGAGAAAAGCTTCATGTTGTAAAAAAACATTTACTTATTTTTAACAAATAAACCCTTTTGGCTATTGAAGCAATAGCTACAAAATATTTCCATTCTCTTGATACTTTGCACCAATGGTTCAAAGGACAGCACAGGTCATTACAGTTTCATCCACACCCACTTGTTTCGGTTTATCAAAGTGGTGCTAAATTGCTCTGTATCCGTGTTCTCTGCTGAGTAAATAATGTGTTATACAGGCTCATTATAAGCAGATTAGATCTATTAGTTACCGCTGTGAGGCTCTGAAATCAGTTGCCCATAGGAGAGCAGAAAATCATTTTAAACTTCAATAAGTTACAAGCAGTGGCAAGCCTCTCCATAATCCACACTGCCCCAGGCAGCAATAAGACTGGATGCAATTATGCAGACAAAATTCAACACAAACAAAAGAAATGGAAATTAGCCTTAAATAAAACAAAAAGGGGAAAGAGGAGTAGAGAAAACAAGTTGGTCTCTTGCTGTCTGCCTCTTGCTTTTTCTTTCATTGTGAAATTTTACATTGTGCGTTTCAAAGCATTGTGTAAAGATCTCACGGCACAAACATGTGGGATTGTTAAAGGGTTACTCCACCCCAAAATGAAAATTTTGTCATTAATCACTTACCCCCATGTCGTTCCAAACCCGTAAAAGCTTTGTTCGTCTTCGGAACACAATTTAAGATATTTTGGATGAAAACCAGGAGGCTTGTGACTGTCCCATTGACTGCTAAGTAAGTTAATAAACACTGTCAAGGCCCAGAAAAGTATGAAAGACATCGTCAAAATAGTCCATTTGCCATCAGTGGTTCAATCTGAATTTTATGAAGCAACGAGAATACTTTTTGTACGCAAAGAAAACAAAAATAACGACTTTATTCAACAATTCGTCTCCTCACGCGGAGTACACCGTAGTACTTACTTAAGTATTTTTTGGGAGTATCTGTACTTTACTTGAGTTTTTATATTTCAGCCAACTTTTACTTTTACTCCACTACATTTCCTAATTAAAATGTATACTTTTACTCCGATACATTTCCCCGAAGCATATTCGTTACTTACTACAAAATAGTCAGAAGTCAGAAGAACACGGACTGCAGGAAAGCAGGTTTGACGAATCAGTAGTCTGGCGTTTGCAAGTTAGACTCCTAAAAACACCTTTGCTCACGAGCGAACAAGTGCGCGCACAACCGCGGGTGATTCATTTTTCTCTCAAGTCGAATCTGGGGTCTGCGATATACAGCATCGTCTGCTGCGATAATATGGTAAGTGTTGTTGTAATGATGTGCGATATGACATTATGAAGTAGGCTATATCACCAAATCACACACGTAGTGCACACACGTTGATTTATTAGTTCATTAAAATTCTAAATTCAAGGCATTCTAAATTGTAGGCGGCAAAAATGCTTCTGTATGCTTTTTTGAATGAATCAGCTTTTTGAACAAATCGTTTAAATAAATGATTCAGTGATTCACTCATTAACACAGTCAGATGCTTTGTCATCAACAGTAACTTGCTGTCACCTACTGGCTGTTTTAATTTCACATTTCGACTATTTTTTCATGTTTTAAATCATTTCAAATATAAGTATTCAACGTTGCTTCTTTTCCATTTTGCATTTACTTGTACTTTTACTTTCAATTAAGTACGTTTAAGATTTAAAAAATACTTTTCGTGCTTAAGTACAATAAATATCACATACTTTAAGACTTTTACTCAAGTAATATTCTAAACGGTGACTTCAACTTTTACCAAAGTCATTTTCTGGTAAGATATCTGTACTTTTACTTGCGTATGGCTTTCAGGTACTTTATACACAACTGCACCACACGGATACGCTTCATAAAATTCAGATTGAACCACTGATGGCAAATGGACTATTTTGACGATATCTTTCATACTTTTCTGGGCCTTGACAGTGTTTATTAATTTACTTAGCAGTCAATGGGACAGTCACAAGCCTCCTGGTTTTCATCCAAAATATCTTAAATTGTGTTCCGAAGACGAGCAAAGCTTTTTCAATAGAATATTTGTTCTTGTAAGTATTCATATTCGTCTGAAATATACTATTAAAAATCACACAGGAGGCCACACAAGCCAAATTTTTATACTCAAATAATATATTAACTGAAATTACCCCTGTATCAATACCCCTGTATTGATGATTTTTTATGACTGATAAACCAAACATGACTGGAATATAAAAGTCTTATGCTGTCTAATAATTTAAGGTTAAATTAAATTAATTAAATTAATATATTCATAATAATTTGTGTGAACCCCATGCAGTTTGATTTTTAATGCATCTCACATAAGCCCATGAAAATGATTAAGCATCTTTGAATAAAACTTATAGCCTACTTAAAAATATATTAGGGTTAGGGTAACCCTAGCACACTTTGCACAGACACTCCACACTTTAACACTTATTCACTTTATCGTTAACTGCACTGCCTCATTATACTGTGTAGACGATAGCATGCCTCTTATTTATAGAGTACATATAGTTTTGTCATTGTTTATTTCTGCTATTCTTCCTTGTTTCCTCCCTTATTGCATATTGTTTTTATAGTTTTTATTCTTGTACTTTATTGTATATTCTTTATATTTATTGTCTTTGTAATTTATTGTCTGTTCCCCTATTACTTATTTATTTATTTATTGCCTTCTATCCCGTCTTCATCATGCGGAGATAACAAAATAAGAATTTCATTGTACCTAGTACATATGACAATAAAAATCTTAAAGCTTGAAAAATAGCTTTAAATTTTAAATTGTGTACAGATATATTATATGTACAGACTGTATATGCAAGTGTCTTTTTCTTCAGCGCATTTGACTGCTTGGTTTTGAAGGTTTGGTTTGTGGGTCCGCCTACCTAATGACACAACCGGAGTTTCTTTGATGGGAGTAACTCGTGATTGGCTGAATCACGACACGCAGCCATTTGAAATCCACGCAGCTGAACCAGGAACTACGGAGAAGATTCTTCCCCTCTTTTAAGTGGTAAGTCTGTGTCCTCAGACATAACGCTCTCGTTTTACACAGCTATGAATATTGCCTTGCATTTAGATATCTGTTACTGACTGAGTAAACCATTAAGCATGTTTTTTGCGATCTGTCGCGCGTTACTGTTTCCTAAATCCAAACATTCGTGTTTGATTTAGCGCCCGCCCCCCGCACAGTCTGTGATTGGTCGAGCCTTTCGGTTTCCTTATTGTGATTGGATAATTCCTTAGACTGTTTTAGCTTCAGTTAGACTTCAGGACCGGGATGATACGTTGACATGATGGAAACTGTAAACAGTGCAATGCCATTACGTGGCATTTAGATGAATCGGAAGTCGACTACATATGTTTATCTATATTATATATGTTTTTTTAAATTCTTTTTTTTTTTAAAGAATTGACATTGTGATTAATTTGATAAGTGAATGTTTTGTGCATATACTGATTTATTTCATTGCATTTGTGCCAAGATGCCTTTTGTATGCCACATATTGAGATTTGCATCAATGAACTAATGCACATCCCCTATAATCCCAGATTCTGTTATATATTTTCATTTTATATAAAATAAATCCAGTTCAGGTTATAATTTAGCTCCTAGCTGCACTCATGCTAACCTTTTGTATTGAGCACTTGATTACTAAAATGCATAATGCTGTCTTTATTTAATTCATTTTTTAAATAAATGCCCGAGGTGCTTATTTTAATCTTAATTCTCTTTCAAACCGAAACCTTTGTAGTAGACTTGTGCCGGTATTCGGTAATGCGATATATCACGGTAATGAATATGCACGATATTGTTATCGTGGGCACTTCTAAATATAGTTTAGCTTCTGAAAAAGGATTCTGGTCTCAATTTGGGTCTTCAAAGCGCTGGTAGCCTACACATAGCCATAGGCAATCTCCCTCTATTTGAGGATCGACCACAGCTCACCAAGCATATATTGTCTGCAATTTGGACACTGTTATCTTTGACGATTTTTATATTAGATTATGCAAGGTTTATGTCTTGTTAATTTTTCTAAATATTCTATAAACATATCCTTTATGTCACTATTTAGTGTTTTGTCACTGTTGGCTGGCCTTGGTCAAGCATTTCATGTCTTGTGAGGTGGGGGATTTTGCATCAAAGTCAGAGTTGTTCAGATTGGTACCCACTCTGTGACTGTGACCCTACGATTTCCTGACCGCTGGTTGAATCATCACCTTTACAAAGCCTAAGGGTATGTGGGCAGAAATAAGACACACATTTTCTGAATATGGCCATGTTTGCCACTTAACAGCCCTTGTCAACTTGCCTTAGTGGTCACACTCATTTTAAAGGAAGTGTTTGGTCATTGTAGGTCATGCCCCTGGGCTTGACTCAAACCATGTTGTGTAAACACAGTAATGGTCCGCTTCCTCTGGCATCTTTGGAAGAGTAATCCATTCCTCTTTCTCCCGCATGTGGAGCCCTTGTAATTACATCAACTTAAAGTAAAGATTAAAGACATCAAAAGTAGGATGCTGAGATGACCCTTGAACTCATTTTACATAGGCAGCCAAAGGGGAGGTTTCAGCTCACACAGTCATGCCTCAAGAGAGGATGAAAACAGCCTCGTAATTCTCTGTTTTCATGCATCTCTGCACTTCCTCCAGCTCTTCTCTGCTAATCAGTCAAGGCTCTTAGCACAGAGCCTGTACACCTTTCCTCAGGAGATCTCCGGCTTATGAGCCAAAATGGATCAGGTCAAAGGTCTACGGCTCGATTTCTTTGGGAGAGAATAGGTCAGAGAGGTTCAAACATCATCAGAAACATAGACTTGCCCTTTGGCTCATGCAGCCTTTTTTCCAAGTCTTTAAAAGAAGAAGCAGTATTGATTGCAAATAGTATTGCGAATAGAGCAGAATCTTGATGAAGGGTTCCCTGACCACCTCACAATAAAAACAGTTTATGAGGCTGTAAGTATGGCTAATGCTTTAATGCACTAAACCCATTACCAATTTCAAAATTCCTTGCCTTTCAAACTAACTATTATAACATGCATCACGAGATGAGACACTTTTTTTCTCCTCTTGGCTTTTTTTCCATTTCAGTTGCTATGGAAATCAATCTGAGATCTCTATCGGGAAAGTCAGTTTAGTGTAAAATGAGATGGAGTGTATGCTTCTTTAATATAAATGCACAATCTCTGCAGTGTTAAACCCACTTTAAAGGGTTAGTTCACCCAAAAATGAAAATTAGCCCATAAATTACTTACCCTCAAGTCATCCTAGGTGTATATGACTTTCTTCTTTCAGACGAATCCAGTGGGAGTTATATTAAAAATTGTCTTTGATCTTTCAAGCTGTTTCATGGCACTCAGCGGGTGTTGCATGCTTCAGTCCAAAAGAAGTTAAATAAAAAGCGCCCATCCATAAAACAAAGTGTCTCACACGGCTCCGGGGGGTGAACAAAGGCCTTCTGTAGCGAATCGATGCATTTTTGTAAGAAAAATATCCATATTCAAAACGTAATAATCACTTTAATGTAGCTTGCGCTCACTGTTGTAAAGGGAAGCAGTTCCGAGAGGATGAAGTATGGAGGTCAGCGTTGCACATGTGCCAGTGAGTCTCGTGAAAACCAACGTTTGTTAACAGGAGCAAAGGAAGCAAAGTTTCCTTACTTTGGTAAAGGAAAACCATTCTCCTCATGGCTTATATCGAAATCCTCCGACATTCTTCTTTACAAATCCTCGTTTTGTACTTCTAATTCTTGACTGTTGTTTTGTTTTGATCTCTCCGCTGCGTGTCCGCGTGCGTCACTTCTGAGCCACGCATGCGCAAAGCCGACCTCCATACTTCATCCTCTCGGAACTGCTTCCCTTTACAACAGTGAGCGCAAGCTACATTAAAGTGATTATTACGTTTTGAATATGGATATTTTTCTTACAAAAATGCATCGATTCGCTACAGAAGGCCTTTGTTCACCCCCCGGAGCCGTGTGAGACACTTTTTTTTATGGATGGGCGCTTTTTATTTAACTTCTTTTGGACTGAAGCATGCAACACGCGCTGAGTGACATGAAACAGCTTGAAAGATCAAAGACAATTTTTAATATAACTCTGACTGGATTCATCTGAAAGAAGAAAGTCATATACACCTAGGATGACTTGAGGGTGAGTAATTTATGGGCTAATTTTCATTTTTGGGTGAACTAACCCTTTAACACTGCATTGAATGAGCAGATACATTCAAAATACTACATATGGCAATTTGATCATTTTTTATTTTCCTCTGATGAGCATGTGATGACTTCTGAATGATTTAAAAAAATATATATTAACAAAACTGCTTCAATGTTTATTAACATTTGCAGAAATCAGTCATGTTGTCTGTCCAGAATTCAGAAAACCAAGCATAAAACAGGAAATCCTTGCAGACCCTCATGACCGTGTTTCTAAGTGAATTAGTATCCTAACAAATCAGTGGTGCAACTCTCTAAAAACTGAATGATATTTATGAATTAATAATTAATGATATTTGTATTTAAAAAATTGAAAATAATTCTTAAGGTGTGTACACTCAAATATATTATTACTTTCTAAGTGATGGTTACACCACATGATATTATTGTGGAATCATTCTGAGTCATTAAATTGAACCTTTTCTTGAATATGGTAGAAAAGTTTTTCAAAACCATGTGAAACCAACATGAATACAAAGAACCATTTAGAAGCTTTCTTAGACCTTGGCACATGTGCTCCAAACTAGATTTTTAAAATATTTTTCTTTATCTTTATCGTGGACAGTCTTCTATGTCATTGATTGACCCAAAGTTTGAATCATTATATGAATCATTAACTATATGTAACACAATTATGTATTCTGTAAATCATTTTCTACCCACATATGATTAATTCAGAATACATACTCTTGACCAGAGGAATTCAGTGTAGAGCAGTTTAACACAAATTCACTAGTACTTTGCAGGTATGGGAAGACTTTCAAATAGACTAGGTCTCGGATCAACCTTCTTATGATTGAATTCCTTGAAGTCACTTGCCACCTTTGGGGATTTGCCTCACATCAAATTCCTCTTTCTAGCTTTAAGATGCTTTCCGACTTACACAATCACCAATGACTTTTGCAGCAATTTAGGATGTGATGCCCTGAAAGTGTACTGCAAGGCTGTGGTTCACAACTGGTGGGTCACAACCTTAAAAAAAGGGAACTGCAGGGGGGAAAACTGCTAAATGTCAGAGATTTAGTGGCATTTTCTCATCCTCAAATCCGTGAAAAAAAAAGTTACAAAATCATTTACAAAATTGTCAGTAGTTCTCAAAGCCAGCCTGTGTTGTTATAAAATGTGTGAATATTTTTTAAAGTGTTGCATTGAGTCACATTGCCATTCAATGTAAAATCTTGGCCTTGAAGCAAAAACCATTTGAGAACCACTGTTCTTGGTGATTTGTAGATAAGCAGTGTTTATCCATTAGGTGAACTTTGGTAGTATTCCCACCCATAGTAAAGCAAAAGTATTTAGTATTTTAAGCCATACCTAGCAAATCTTTACTTGAGGACTGCAGTAGCATTTTCCATTTGATTCCTGTAAGCAAACAGAAACAGAGCTCTCACTGTTCACTGCTTTTACTTATAGTCTTTCCTCATACTTTGTGTATTTTTTCATTCTGTTTCTCTCTCAGGTGAATGAAGGATGGGGAAAAAGGATGCAAGTTCTGTCAAGTTGCCGGTCGATCAGTACCGTAAACAGATCGGTGAGAACCTCTGTGCTTTCCAGTAGGCTTTATTTTTTAATATGGTTGTTAGTAACCTTCATCAAATATTCATCCAGTGTTTTATTAAAGAGAGTCTGAAATGTTGCTTTTTCTCCTTCATTTCAGCCACTGTCATTATATTGCTTATGAATGTTACGCATGAACAGACTTGATAATCAGAATGCTCAGCTGGGAACAGACCAGCGTGTTTAAGAAAAAGCCCAAAATAAACAACCGCATATACTGTCTTCATGTTTAGCTTCTAAAGTCTCTGAACCTCATTTTGCTCAGACTTATGCTTTCTCTTGTCTAATTTAGCATTAGCTTTAGAGGAAACAGTCATTAGTTTTTGCCTCCTCTTTTTTTAACCCAGGCACTGTATAGCCTATCAATCACAGTAGTACCGGTTAGCATGCCAACTGTGATAGCGGAAGGATCGTGGGGTTTGTTTTATAGCTTAGACAATGTCAGTATGGATGCTAAGGGCTGTATGAGGAACAGTGCTGTAAACACCTAGCATAGCTGGGGGGAGGGAATCTTTTCACTGTATATGTAACCATTTCAGGAACTCTCAATACTGTACATATATCTGCAGCATTTAAAAAAATTATTACATTAGATGAAATGATATAAAAATCGAGCTATAGTCATTGAACACAGTCACCTTTCGGATCAGGAAATGTTTTGTGCTTAGTCCCAGACACTTTTACTGTGTTTCACTGTGTATACAGACATCACTTTCATCTTGTTGTTGGTTTTATAGCCAACTTAAACCAGTAGCAAATTCTGTATGGGAAAATCTTTCACAATCACCTTTTTTTCATCCCTTTTAAAAAAAAAAATCACCTTTAGGCCTTTTACCTGGAATAGCTGTTAGTCCAGTTGTATCCTCCATTGTACATCTGGAAGTTCTTCATTTTCATTCTAGGGATGAGATATTGAGACATAGTTCTATAATGGCACTAAAGCGATGTCTTTTTTTCATTGGCACATCCCTGATGTTATTTGCAACACAGTACACGCTAATATCATCTCCCTACAGAAACAACTTGTCTCATACACATGATTTTATGCGAGTTCACATCACACCCTTTAGTAGGACTATTAAGCTTGCGTTGCTCTGCCACCTTGCCTTATTGTGCCTGTGCTGCATGACTGTGCTGGCAACATAACAAGCTGAACTCCTGCTGGAGTCTGCGAATCTCAGACATATCCCATTTTGTTTTCTTTCTTTTGCGTCTCATCAATTCAAAGTCGTAACAGCAGGTTGTGGACAATTGAGTTCCCCCCCTGGTCCTCCCTCTCTTTCCCTCAGTTTGATTTTAAATAGAAGTCTATATCAGCCTATTTCGGAGAATGGCTGTTTAACAAAAAAAGCACCCAAAATAGCGTAAAGCAACACAAAGGGAGAATACACATCGTAATTTGAGATTGTAATGGGAAGGTAATTTTTATCCTGACAGGTCTTGCTTTCTTCCTTTATTTTTTAAGGAGAGAAAGCTTTTGTGATGCCAAGTACCTTGTAGGGCTGCTGTAGACACATTGACTTTAAATACTGTTATTAAGTTGCATAATGGACTCCGGAGAGCTGTCAACCACCAAAAGGTTTCCTCGGGTCTGTATGGTCATCCCCCTTGAGTCAAGATCATTCACACCATCCTCTCTGCCTTTGTCCAAAAATTATTCGCATGACCAAAACACTCAGGCACATCCCTGCCTATTAACTCTGTTTGTGATCGTTTTTGTGTGAATGTGCACCTCGCTGATCTGTATATGGTCTTAATAGCTCTGATATGAGGGCTGAATGGATCTTGCATGTTACAGATCTTCTCAGTTTTCAAAACTGGTCTAAGCAGGTCACCCACTGGCAGAACTCTCACCTGTGCATCACGAACCTGTCTGTTTTTAGCTGTTGTTCAACACTTACCACAGCCTGTGTGCAAAGGTTGCGCTCCCTCCCTCTGACAAAAACTGTGGTAAAGTCCCTCTCTGTTTTTTGTGGAATGAGTTGATTTGTTTACAAAGACAAAGTTCTTTATTTTTGACCTCTGTACACTCCCAGTACGTGTGCAATCTGTCAGTGCTGGATTCGAATTGGGCACATATAGGCCTGTTCACACTGTTTGGCCTGAAAATATACAGCATTTGTTTTGTTTTTGTAAGTTTTGTTTATTTTTCACATTGATGCACATTGAATTTTGACTTTGATAATGAATGAATTATTTATTTATTTTATAATTATTATTATTGCTATGTGATTGATTGATTGATTTGTTAGTTATTTTATATTAGTTATTTATTTGAGGTATTATAATTAATTAATTTTACACTGATGCTTTTTCTTTTTAATTAGACATTGAAGGGGAAATGTCCCCCCAATATTTGTTTTAGTATAGGCCTTCATGAAACACAACACATTTCTGTATAAAATATTCATAATTCCACTCATATTTTGTTCCAGTTAATGAAATGCAGAATTTAAAACTTTACACAGAAATCCGTTCTTCATAAACAATACGGCTGTATGTGAGGAATTTCAAATGCATAGTTTTGATTAAGAAAAAAAAATTATGCCAAATATTCTTATTTGTTTGAACAGACCCTCACTATTTTTTTCCAAGTTATTTATATGTTTGTTGCCCGAGATGGACAGTGGGTTTATCAGAACTTTATTGCAATCCTATAACAGGAATAATTGCAGAGAGCTTTTCTCCACTCTCCAAAGAGCTTGTTGTCTCCCGTAATGAAATGCAATTTGTGAATTTGCTCGATCACGTTAGAAAAGCACCAGGCTGATGGAAAGGGAATCTGTTTGTGGATGAGGAGTCATGGCTTTTGAAATGAAATCAACTGCAGCAGTTTTGAAAGGCACCCTTGGCCCTGTGGGTTGATTCTTGTCACTTCCCTGTCAACATCTGACAGCCCAGTGTGTACAGAGGGGTCATACCGCTCTAGCACACAGGAAACAATGCCATACTATATTAGAGAGGCTCCACTCCGCTTTTGGTAAATAAGTAGGGGGAGATTTCGCTCTGCGGTGATGCAGTTGAATGGTGATTAATGAGTGAAGGTGCGTTCAAAGCCCGCCTTTGTATTGCTGGCCAATTTGAGCACAACTGCGGTGAGACGGCAAAGCCAAGAAGGCCATTTTGAGTTGTCATCATCAGCGAGTGCTCACACAGAGAGAAACGCCTCATTAAACTCGATGGCGTGTGATTCAGCGTACTGGCAGGGCCACAAAGTCTCGCTATATAAACAATTTATTTCAAACTCTGATATGATTACAATTAACTATTTATTTGGAACAGATGGCTGAGGCTGTTTGTTGTGGGTATTTACACCACAACAGGAAGTTTCAAGAAAAATAAGACACACCTAATCTGTCCCAGTTGGCTTGGAACAAAACGAGTTTTGCTTTCCACACCATGTAAAATCTCCGCAGGTGTGAGTGTAAACTCCTGTAGAAGCTGAGATAGGAAGAGAGACAGAAAGACAGTCATAGAGTGTTTGGAAGCTGACATAATTCATTTTTGATGTACATGCATTTTTTTTTAAATTTGAAAACAGCTAGGATTGACACTTATCTAAGCCCTGCCCTCTGGTTACTATGGCTACAGAACGAATAAATAGGAGATTTATATAAACAATGTTTTTTTTAATTTTACTGCATATGGCCCTGTTTGCTCGATCTCGAAAGTAAATATACCCAACAACCGTATTCACATGCAAAGTAACTGTTGGAACATTTAACTTAGTATAAATACTGTTAATATACTGTACTGCTAGGATCATTTATTCACAAGTGAATTAATAAAGTGAGAATAAAGTGAGAAATGTTAAGAATTAAACATTTTTCAAAATGAAGATGAAATACATTTTTTGACCATTTAGATTACAAAACACCTTTGCGTAGACAGCAAAAATAGTCAATAATAATAATAATAATAATTATTATTATTATTATTAAGAATTATCATTGTAGTCTAATGAAGATTTATTTATATCAAAAACATAAATAAAATAATTTAAAATAAATAAAACAAAAATTCAATTGGTTATCAGACACTTAAACATAAACTTAAACATAACTTTTTCGTATTCAATATTAAAAGCCATTATCAGTCAATAATAAAAACATATAACAATATAGCAAGCAATAAAGCAAATGCAAGAATTGCAAGAATAATAACATCTTCTTTAAATTGCAATAATAATTTAGTTTTTTTGAAGATGAAGGCTGACACATATTTCAAATAATTTAAAGGTAGGAAAAGGAAACATACTGTGTGTACCATTGTGGGTAGATTCTCCGTTGTAAATGCCCCTGCAACATTTTACTATATTTTTTTGATAATTCATTTTAAATTCTATTTAAAATGAACATAACTTGTTAAATTCTATAAAATTAAAGATCTTTCATGAACATATATATATATATATATATATACAGTTGCTAAGATAGGATTGGTCAATAATGTTTTTAAGGTGTGAATGGTCAGTTCAGTTTAGTATTTTTCACAGATGATTCGCATTAATGCCCTGCAGTCCCTTCCCACAGAGACCGAACTGAGAACTATTCCACAAGTCTCTGCAAACAAACACAATGTTCATTATTTAACAGCCCAGTCTGTACTGAACCAAGCCATCATTCAGCACTGGAACAAAATAGCAGGATGTTTACCTCTGATAATGGCCTCTTGCAGGCCTGCGTCGGACACAGAAGGTGCACCATAAGGCAGGAGAGACCTGCGAATGTCCCTGGAGAGGGGTCAGTGTCTAACTTAGGCATCTGAGAGTATCCAGCCCGGCAGTCTGCTGCTGAAGATGGATAAGGACACTCTCTCTTTTCCCCACTCCATGTAAATAAGTCTTAATGAGGCAGGAGTTGCACTTGAAACGGCCCCTGTGTGTCAACAGCTCTCACAGAGACCTTGAGTCTGACCCGGGTCTGCTGCAGCCACCGAGGAAGGCCCCCTCCTTTGCCCACCAAGCTGTTGCCTTCCCACTTTTCCACTTCTCTTCCTTCGTCTGTTTGTTTCTAATTAGAGACACCACACTCCTCGCACACCTTGCACACATACGCTCCAGGTGGCCGCTTTGCCTGGTGGGTTCGTTGCAGTGCTTGCCTGTTAACTGCCACTGAGTTGAACTGGGATGCTCATGAGTTCCTCTCAGAGTACTAGCATTGCTTACTGTATGCTGTGCAGTATATGCTCTGTATCCTGCCTACTATTTTTAGAAAAAAGGGTGTGAAATAGTATGCATTACACATAAGCAATGGGTAAATGTCAAATAAGATAAACGAAAAATCTTTTAAAGCACAGTTGTACTTGCTATATTTATGTTGGTTTCATATAGTTTTAAAATACTTATTCCTTTTTTTCAGAAGTTTAAAAAGTCATGTGATGTAACCAAGTGCAAAGTAACTTAACTTAAATGCATGTCTGTGTATCTTGATAATTATTTTCAAAAAAGTTTGAAATATATTCTAATATGTTTTTTTGTTTGTTTGTATACAAATATCATGAATTATTAATTCGTAAATTATGTTTCTGCATGTTGGTCGCACCATATGACCTTATTTTTGTATATAAATAAGTAGTGAGGCACTTTTGTTAAAATTATTTATTCTTTTTCATCATGAATTTTATCATGAATTTTGATTTCTAATAAATAATAAACTATTATGCCAAAATACTTAAGGCTTTCTTTTTAATATTAGGTTTTCATTTCATTATTTTAATGTGACTTTTTGCTTCATTACGATAGCAGGACAGTTATATCATTCAGCCATTTTTGACTGTATGCCCCAAAAATATCAATATTCATTTTTATTTCTGAAATTAAAAGCATGCTTATCATATAAAGGTGCAAGTCAGTGTATGTATGAATAGCATTTTATTGTATTTTTTTGTTTAATAATAATTTATAGAACAAAAAATAGCAATACCACAATAAGCATGAAATGTGACACATTGCATGTAATAAGGAAACGGTTATAATCAGAAAAAAAGGACATTTTGAGGCATTTTTAATCCAATTTTGTGTAAAAACCTCTTAACTTTTGCCAGTCTGATCCAATAAAAAGTCAATGATTAATTAAGTGTTTTCGATAGTCCATCTCTGTATATTTAAGATAAGCTCAGACTCAATCAGTCATGCATAAATTAAATACTATTTTGTCTTATATAAGGTAGTACAGAAGGTTAACAGGCTTATATTAAGTCATGTTAATAAGGGTTAAAACAGAGAAATACATTAAAGCGAACTAAAAATGTTTCAGCGAAATGCATTAGTTTAATGATTCGTAATAGAACATTGATAAAAACAATTGCAAATGCATTATATTTGTTTTATTAAAACATTATTCATCTATTAAATGAAAAAAAAAGCTTTCAGCCTAACTCAAAATGCAAATGTAACTCCCAATGTCACATGGCAGGAATGACCCGAGCGCCTCATTTTCTCTCTCAGGAAAACAGGATTACAAGAAAACCAAGCCGGTGCTGCGAGCCACTCGGCTGAAGGCGGAGGCGAAGAGGAGTGCTCCGGGAATCAGGGTGAGATGGCTGTCTTTCATTCTCATTATCTCCCCCTCTATCCCAACTGATCCCTCTCTCTCCCATCTGCCAAACCACACACACACACACACACACACACACACATTATTCATCACACCTCTCCAACCTGAGAGCAACTCAAGCAGTCTCCATATTGATGAGGCAGAGAAGAGCTGTTTGACTCTCAGAGGAGTATCTCTCTTTCTCCCTCGCCATCTCCTTTGCTTTCTCTCGATTTTTCTTTTTCTCTCAGCTGTCACTCCAGAATAATAATCGAGAGTTTGAGGGAAAAGCCTTTTTATTCACCATCTTTGTGTGATTTCCATGTATTAATGGCACTGGCTTGGTCAAGTGTAACTATCAGTATTGCTCATACTGTATTAAACTTGCATAATTTGCTTGGACGTTTGGGTTGTGGACATCTCAAATAATATCTGACTGCTGCTTTTCTAAGCGATCAGACTTAAGAATTTCATGAAAAATGTGACAGAAAATCCCATAGACTTACACTGACAGAGAAACTTGTGCCATATAGACCGGTTTCAAAGAGACCTTGGTTTTGCATAGATCACCCAAAAATGTTGCCACAAACAGAAAATAACATGAGAAGATATTTCAAGAATATAAATCTATATTTTTTTCAATGGTCACCAAAACTGTTTGGTTACAAACTTTCTTCAAAATAGCTACTTCATTAATGTGTGTATTTATCGTTTACAGATTTAATCAAAAGAACAGTTTTCAAATTTTCTGTGAAGCTTCTCTCTTCATCCCTGTTAATTTTGGCAGGGATGTTATTTTTGGTTGGTTTTTGGCATGAGAATTTGTGGTGCAATATGTTTTATCAGTTCTCTCAGAATCCAGAGCTCCACATTTGGAACTGTAGCCAAAACCGCTAGTATCCATGCTAAGACCTCTCACTGACAACAATGATCTGAAACTTAATTCATAATTCATAAGCTGCAATATTTTCACAGTGGGCTGCACTGCAGTGTAGAAACCCTGAGCACAGCTGCACATTGCTGAATACAACTTAAAACGTTGTGTTTGCTTGTATTGGGTTTAGTTTAGGGTTTAGTGGTATGAAGAAATCAAATGTGAAGGCTGAAGATTAACTGGTCTTAGCAACTCAACTGTTATTGTTAGAAAGCCAAGCCCTCATTACAGTTCTTCTAAGTCTCATTAGTCTTTTATCCAACCTGCACTGCAGTGTAGAAACCCTGAGCACAGCTGCACATTGCTGAATACAACTTAAAACGTTGTGTTTAGTGGTATGAAGAAATCAAATGTGAAGGCTGAAGATTAACTGGTCTTAGCAACTCAACTGTTATTGTTAGAAAGCCAAGCCCTCATTACAGTTCTTCTAAGTCTCATTAGTCTTTTATCCAATTACTGAGGCTTAAAATGGAGAAAATTATTTACATGAATTCATAAGAAAATCTTCTCGTCCTTAATGACTCTAAATGCTCGTTTGGGACATTTGGAACCAACTAAATGTCTTTCCACAGGTATGTGTTAAGCCTATGAGCTCAGTGGTTAAAATATGTTTACTGCTGAAAGCAACATCCCCTCATTCTGTCAGAAATGTAGTTTATTGCATGCAGATTTGGTCATTGACTTGGCATGTTTCTGAGGAACGTGGACGCCGATTTGTTTGTTCTGGTTCGTAACGTGACTAATGGACCCCTGAGCTCCAAGCTTGAGTTTTGTTCTGGTGTGTGCTTCTCTGTGGTATGTCTCCTTGGCTTTGGTTTTTCTGAGGAGTTGACTCATACTTTTACCACTTGTTTTTCCACAGGCCATTTTCTCTGGCTGTGCATGCTTGGCAGGTGGTTCTCCATCTATGACCATCCTTCTCTCAACCCGCCAAAACGCACACACTTTCTTCTTTTTCGTCTTCCATTGTTCTTTTGCGTCTGTCCCATTTGTGAGTTCCGTGTGAGGCTCTGGAGAGCAGGTTGAGGCTGAGGTTCGGACTGTCCTGGGGTCCGTGTTGGCAGCACACGCAATCTGCTGTTCTCCACTCGGTGGCCAGTTGGATTGCTGGGATGTGCCTGCCAGCTTGGGGAGACCGCGGGCACTCGACCACCTGCTGTGGGCACTGCTTTGCTCCCTGGTGCCTGGTTGAGCGGATGGCATCACCTGGCACAGAGTTGAGGTGCTGGCGGCCTCAGCCGTGTGGGGCGCCTGGCCTGAAAAAATCTGTGCCAACTTGCTTGTCCTGGAGCTGAATATTGAGAGCCCGCCGGCCAACTTTAAATGTTTCACTCTTCAGTACATTCCATTGCATGCAAAAGTAAGTCCCAGTGATTTTTATCTAAGGTTCTAAAATACCCAAAAGCGCCATAGTAGTACCATGTGTTTTGGACAAGGTGATACCATCTGGCACAAGCCACCAACACCAGGCCTCTGATTTGTTGTAAAACAATGCTTAGAATAATCTAGAATTTAAATTCAGTTGTTAGTTTTTAATTGGAAAATCAATCAAAATTCAGTGCCCTTATGAATTGGATTCAAGAAGATAAAGTCTATATTAAATTGAATTATAGTATAGTATTATAGTATTAAAAACTATATTAAATTAAAGAGACCCTCAGATATTATGTTATGTCTGATAAGCGACTAAGGTGACAGGAAAATAAATATAAATTCTAAATTAAATTAGAGATTCATAGTTATTAAAATTCTGGTCAATAATTATTTTAGCTCTTTGGCTGATACTCAATAAATTGCAGATATTGAAATTCTGTATTATTTTGTCTAAATAAATTAACAAATCAAACATTAAATCAATAAAAAACTAACATTAAAAAATTTAATTGATCATTTTAAATGCTAAAAGTACATTTTATAATGTACCGTATAAAATGGACAATTATTGTTATTAATAAAGAGTTCATTTTACAGTGTTAGTACATTTTTAATGTTCTTAAAGATGAACTTTTATTAGATTTTAGGTGACAGCAAAGGTAGTCTAAATGTAAAAAGAGTGGAAATGACTAAATGCACAATTAAATATACAATATCAACTAAAATAAAGTTTAAAAAAAACTCAAATAGCTGATTATTGTAATGACACTAATAATATTGTATATCCCTGAAATAAATGTAATAATTGACACAAGAAAACAAGACCCTGTGCTGTCTTATAAAAGAGTATTTTACACTATATGTGTGTATGTGGCCACAGACCTGCATCTCTTGCTGTATGCAAACTGTGTTTATGAGTCCCATTCACACCTCTGTGTTTTACACAGTCTTTCAACACTCGTATGAGTGAAACTCACATTTTTATGCCTCAAACACACACCCTTCCTCACTCACAAAGCACGGCAGCCAGCGGTCGGCAGAGGGTGAGGTATTACAGCACACCTGGGTCGGGCTGAGATAACTACACAACCACTTAACACAGGGGGAAAAGCCCACTTCAGCTGTTTCTGTTGGATGCTGATGCCGTACCTCACCTGGCCGAGAGGGCCAAAGTTATGAACACAGGGCTATATGAGAAAATACCACAGAATACGGCGAAACCAGAAGACCGTGAGAATTCATACAAGGACACATGAAGAGATGTGAGTTTGCGTGTGTGTGTGTGTATAGGCTTAAGTTAAAAGTACTACTATTTCTGAAACGAAAACTGAAATAAAAATAAATTATAACTAAAAAGAAATATCAAAAGACTAAAAAAACAATGAAATGGCAAAAACACATAAAACTTAAATTAAATAAAAAATGAAAATATAAAAGTGAATGCAAAATGGTCACATATAAATAATACTAAAATAATAATGCAATTACTACAGACATTCACGTGTACACCTCTTCTATAAGTGCTGTCAATCGATTACAAAAAATAACTAATTAATTGCATATTTTTCTGAAACTAATCGTGATTAATCCCACCTAACATTAAAGTTTCTTTTTTTGCAATAATTTCACATTCAATCTTCAAATTAATGTAGAAACAATATAAAGACAGTATATTTATAATATTTGTTAAATGGCATATTTTTTATGAATGAAGGCCAGTATCACTGATACCAATACTACTCAAGTATCTTGGAAATGTTTTTTTTCCCCCTAATATTTAACGATTGACTAACTTTACAGTATAATTTAGAGCTATCAATTTTAACATTTATTAGACTTTAAAAATAACTTCTGCTTTAAGTGAACTTAAAACAATCTTCACATTATAATAACCCTGTCACGCGGTCGTGGTTGTAGAAAAGGCACACGAAGAAGGAGTAGAAGTAAAGGAGTCTTTAATAAATATCAACACACTTGGACCGTTGAAAATAACATTAATCCAGCACAAAGAATACACAGAAACTGAGGGCTTATAAGGACAGGCAAACTAAGGAGCAAACGAGATGAATAATACAACACAGGTGATCTGAATAAACGATGATTAACTAAATGAGAACAGGAACTGAACAGAAACAAACACGTGACAAACCCATTATAATAAATGTCATATTTAGCTACCTGTGCCCTTGAGCAAGTAGAAAAATAAATATACAGAAATTGGGAAAGTTATCAAACACTAAATTCTGTAAGAGACAGTGGCCTGTCGCCAGATGAATGAGAACTCACTCCCGGCATGTCACAGCTGCTGCTGAGAGTCTCATGATGCTGTTGGGAATATTCCAGCATTTTCCATCAGAATGTGGGAGACTGAAGCGTAGGCCGCTGAATTATTAGCTTCCTCAAGACAACAAGGTCCCCTCTCTTCACTCACATAACTGCATCTGACAATTTCATTTTCACACAGCCTCCTCTGGACTTACTGTATGTCTTTTTCTCATCAAAGAATATGAGACCACATCTGTATTCATGGCTTTTTACTTTGCATTTCAGGAAAATATTTTTGGGTCAATGACATAATATTCCTTTTTGTGTCCAACTGTACTTATATAAAAATAAAGTACAAATGTGGCACGGTTTTAATTAACTAAACCTAAAATCATTAAACATCATTTTAGTAATTGAAATTAAGTTGATATATATATATATATATATATATATATATAGAATTGGGTGAAACCAGAAGACCGTGAGAATTCATGCAAGGACACATGAGGAGATGCGAGTGTGTGTGCGCGTTTAAGAGACAGTGGCCTGTCGCCAGATGAATGGGAACTCACTCCCGGCATGTCACAGCTGCTGCTGAGAGTCTCATGATGCTGTTGGGAATATTCCAGCGTTTTCCATCAGAATGTGGGAGACTGAAGCGTAGGCCGCTGAATTATTAGCTTCCTCAAGACAACAAGGTCCCCTCTCTTCACTCACATAACTGCATCTGACAATTTCATTTTCACACAGCCTCCTCTGGACTTACTGTATGTCTTTTTCTCATCAAAGAATATGAGACCACATCTGTATTCATGGCTTTTTACTTTACTTTAACGATGATTAACTAAATGAGAACAGGAACTGAACAGAAACAAACACGTGACAAACCCATTATAATAAATGTCATATTTAGCTACCTGTGCCCTTGAGCAAGTAGAAAAATAAATATACAGAAATTGGGAAAGTTATCAAACACTAAATTCTAAATTAAATATAGATGAATCCTTAAAGCTACACAAGTTATTGATTTCCTATTTTTGTCTTTTGCTCTTTGCAAATTTACGATATTTGTAAATAGAAAAAATACTTTTTTGAAAATACAGGTTTAAATGTGTCTGACAATTTCATTTTCACACAGCCTCCTCTGGACTTACTGTATGTCTTTTTCTCATCAAAGAATATGAGACCACATCTGTATTCATGGCTTTTTACTTTGCATTTCAGGAAAATATTTTTGGGTCAATGACATAATATTCCTTTTTGTGTCCAACTGTACTTATATAAAAATAAAGTACAAATGTGGCACGGTTTTAATTAACTAAACCTAAAATCATTAAACATCATTTTAGTAATTGAAATTAAGTTGATATATATATATATATATATATATATATATAAAAATCTAAATGTATTTTTGTCTTTTGCTCTTTGCAAATTTACGATATTTGTAAATAGAAAAAATACTTTTTTGAAAATACAGGTTTAAATGTGTATGTAAATATTTTCAGAATTGTTACTTGCTTGAACCACTTGACATTTTTAAAATCATTACATTTTTTGTTATATAAAAGTGTGGGCTTAAATTTTTCCCCCGCCTTTTCATCGGGTTGGACAGTCTTATTAGTCATTGACACTCTTGTAAACAGGACACATTTGAACTACTTTGTCCCTCTGCTACTATGTCTGTATTTAAAAATTTGGAAACATTTGCCACACATTTCACCAGAGACAAATGCAAAACAATTCCCTTTGGATGCGATGACACTTAGGCTCCGTCACAGTGGTTAAATAAAGAACGTGAATCAGCGTAAGCCTCTGGTAATGTATGAAACTAAAGTGCATGAAATTTAAAAGTTTTCCAATTAAGAGAGGCTTAAGCTGTTTGGAGTCTGGCTGGAACAAGATAAATGCAGCGGGCAGCGAGTGCTAATGAGGACATACACACTGATGACTGCCGCCCAGCTTGTACACAGATAGTCATGGCCGTCGTGGAGGCTTTTAATAGCCCCTTACAATTTATCTGCTAGAATTATTATTAGCCTGCTGTTTGCTGGGTGGCTTATCTCTGCCTGCTCGGGGTGGATTTGCATGCTGCTCTGTGTTTTATGTGTGTGTTTATGTGTGAATGAACACAGGAGGGGGAATAGATAGATGTGTGGATTATTTCACTTTCTCTCTTTCTGTCCATCTTTCATTCTTTTTCTAAGTGCTTCTGACTTTGAAGAAAATACTTTAAGACAACACTACAGGAGGATGCATGGCTGCAAAGGCTAAATTATTGGCATTCATCACATTCTTTTAGCTTATTAGCAAATTAAGGTCTTGTTTACAATCATAGATTGTGTATCAAATTGCCTCCTAGATTGTGGACAAAATTTTACATACACTTTGCAGTATCTGATTGATTCGTAATACGGTGTTGTTACCGGGATGTAAAGTTTTAAATGGGGTCATTTTTATAAATTCAACTCTTATTTTCTCTTGTGTACATTTGTACATGTGTACATTTTTCTAATTCTGCCTTCATATCATTTTTTTTTTTTCATTTAGTAATGCCCTTCATATGCTACAGAAGATACTTAGATGTTTCCCAGAAGACAAAATAAATTCAGTTTACCCTGATCTTCAAATTCAAAAAGTTTAATGGCTCTTAAAGCATCATTTTTCCTTCTGGAGCATCAGTGAGGGTTTGAACCTTCTGTAATAGTTGCATATGAGTCCTTCAGTTGTCCTGAGTGTGAGAAGATGGATCTCAAAATCATACAGTCATTGTTGAAAAGGGTTCAAATACGCAAAAGATACTGGAAAACCAAATAATTTGTGGGACCTGAAGGATTTTTCCGAAGAACAGCGGCCAGTTGAACTGTTCAGGACAAACAAGGGACTCATGAACAACTATCACAAAAAAAAAAAAAAAAGCTGTGGATCATCCCGGTAACAACACAATATTAAGAATCAAGCGTATGTAAACTTTTGAACGGGGTCATTTTTATAAATTCAACTATTTTCTCTTGTAAACTGTATTTTAATGAATTTTGGTAAAATAATTAACATTTTGCAGATCCTGCAGATACTTGTTTGCATAACCATTTTTCTCAAAGTTTTACATACCCACACAATCTGTAAGATCTTCACTATCTTAAAAAATATTGAAATAAATTATGAATATAATATAATATTATTTAGTTATTTGTGACCTGAAAACAATTTTTATTGATATTTAAGTATATTACACAAAGCAAAATAATTGAAATTACATAAACAATCCTGGTCATCCTCATCCTCAGACCATCCAAGATGTAGATGTGTTTGTTTCTTCATCAGAACAGATTTGCAGAAATTTTGCATTACATCACTTCCTCACCAATGGATGCTCTGCAGTGAATGGGTGCCGTCACAATGAACGTGTAAACAGCTGATAAAAAACATCACAATAAGTAATAAGTAATTTATATGTCCCTGGTCCATCAATCAAAGTCGTATGAAGTGAAAAGCTGTGTGTTTTTCAGAAACAAATCTATTGAGACTTTTTTTTTAACTTTAAACTGTTGCTTCCGGCTAAAATATGAGATCATAATCCATAATCTTGCTTTCTCAAGTGAAAAAGTCATCTAGTCTGAATCAGGAGAGAAACAAGCAAAAACAGTCCAAAACAGTTCTAAACAAATATGTTAGGGTATTTTGATGTGAAAGGATGAGATGGGCTTTGTCACTAGAGGAAGCATTATTGTGTATTTTGGCCAGAAACAATGGTTTAAAGTTTAAAAAGCCTTAATAATGTATATGTTTCTTCTAAATATGCAGCTTTTCACTTCACAAGACATTAATTGATGGACTGGAGTCATGTTGTGGATTATTGTAATGTGTTTATCAGCTGTTTAGACTCTCATTCTGACGGCACCCATTCACTGCAGAGGATCCATTGGTGAGCAAATGATGTAATGCTAAAATTCTCCAAATCTGTTCCAATGAAGAAACAAACTCATCAACCTCTCGAGTGGCCTGAGGGTGAGTACATTTTGAGCCAAATTTCATTTTTGGTTGAACTATTCCTTTAAATAAACAAAAAAAATTAAAATCTTGGAGATTCTACAAGAGGTGTATAAACCTTTCAGCAGAAAAAGTTCTCACAGCCTTCTTCGGTATTTACTTGCAGTTTTCTCTAATTGTAATTAATTTCTAGAAAAACATCAACTTCTGAATGTTCCAACGATGCAAAAAAGTACCACAACCACACAAGTTTTGATTAGAAAGTTTGATAACGAGTTATCAAGATGAAGAACAATTGCTTTGTTAAATACTTGAGTGCTCTTAATGAAACGGAGGTTGATGAGGATTGTAATTTAACACAAAAGGTAATAAATGACTGCTTTAAATCTAAATTATGCTTGCATACCACTCCTTCAGCCATCATCAATTTAGCTCGGGCATTAAGCTCCCAACAACTCTTAATTAGAACAAAGACATTTCTGGGAGATCAACTTTCTCTGAGCCTGCTGGGTCTGCCAAACCCTATTTGTGTCACAGCGAGAGGAAAGATAAAGAGCCCAAAATATACTGATTCTTCTGCTGAGCATTTGTGGTGTGAATTACATATGTGTTTGGTTATGATCAGTCTTGTGTCTATGATCATGCAATGAAAAGAGAGCGTTTCATTCTCAAACTGCTAGAGAATGGCATTGCAGCATTTAGGCATTTTAAAGCAGTATTAAATATGCATTTTAATAATGTTACATAAACACTCTGAAAAATGATGTCTTAGCACCTTTTCCAGCAAAGAGCTGTCTGATCGATAACTTTTTTAAAAAAAAATTTTATATAGGCTTCCCTATTTGTAGATTAAAAAGGTTCTTAATGTTAGATTATATGTTCTTCAGATCAGTTGGTTTCTGGGTTTTATGAAGTATTGATTTTTCTGAAAAACTGTCAAATAAAAAGTTCTTTAATGAACTTTAAAAAGTTCTTCTCTGGCGTCAGACTGTAAAACGTTTTTATCAGAATGAACCTGCACATTTCTAAGTAATTATGTTTCCACATTGAAGTCATGGTGCACACAAGCTGCTCAAGCTAGCAGTTTAATTAAATACATTATCCGAGTGTCTAACATTTTAGAAAGTGCAAACAGTTTTTCTTTTTCTCTGATTGCAGGACACCATATTGGTCATTGTGGCTGTCTTGGTCTTCCTGCTAGGCATCTATGCATTCTTCTACCTCAACCTGAGCACCGAGCTGGATCTGGATGTGGACATGGACTGAAGGACTTTTCTCACAGATGCCATCTCAGAGGATTCTGGGTGGCTGAACCCATGAACCACTCATTGTTTTTGTATTATGCATTTCCTATCTTTGTCCCCGTTTATACCAGCAGAAGCTGAAAGAAGATGAGTCTTAAAGTGCTTAGCAGCATGAAGTTAAAATCTCAGAGATTTTTTTTTCTCAGTGTTTATCCTTGATATCCTTTTTGATTATTAATAAAGCTTCACATGTCCCACAGCTTTGGGATTTGAAAAACCAACTGGTTTTCCATTTGGATCTTTTAGTTTTAAAGAAATAGTTCACGCAGAAATGAAATTTCTGTCATCTTTAACTCACTCTCATGTCTTTTGAAATGCATTTGGCTCTCTGCATGAAACACAAATGGAGTTATTTACATCACAATTTCTAGGCTGTTGGTTTTTACACAATAAAATACTAGAATTTTACTGAATAACAACTTAAATATCAGTGGCAAAGCTATCATATGGCTTTTGTCAGATACTTTTGTGGTGCTTTTTGGAGTTTGACAACTCCTGGTCCATCTTTGTTTTCACTCAACTCTTTTGTTCCACAAAAGCAAGTCGTAGAGGTTTGGAATGACATGAAAGTGAATAAATGATGACAGAAGTTTAATTTTTGGCTGAACTATCCCGTTAATCATTTCCATCTCACTATTGTGTATTAGCACAGATGGATTAATTTTTAACCAAATTGGATGGAATTTTATTACATAATCCTTAGAAGAAGAAAAAAATCCCCATCCTGTGGAGAAAAAATTGTAGATATTTTAGATAAATCAGGCAGACAAGAAGGTATAATGCATTCCATACCACAAGCACTTCTTACAGATCTAGACATCTCAATGCTGGAGATCAGAGGCAATCTGTGATCTTGTTTGTGTGTGTAATGCTGACATTCTCTGTCTCGTTTCTCGTCATCGTGCAGCTCGTTAGCATATCAAACACCGCAAACTTCAGTTGTTGAAAGCCAAAAGAGCATCAGTGAAGATACCAAGCATTACCACATAGATCTTGATGTGCTCTCGGCTTTTGTATGCGTGTGTGTTTGAGACCTCTTGAGAGACGTATAGAAACAGCACTTGAAGCATTATCAATCAGCGTGAGGTGCTGTTAACATTTAGCTAGCGTGCATCTTTTGATCTATCTCAGAAGATAAAACACATGGCCCTGCCTTGGTCTCTGACATCCAGTGCTTCCTTTACACACTGCTGGGCCTGTGTGTTTGCGTTCGTAGGAGGAAGAGTCGTAGGGTGGAAAATGAAAGGCTGAAGCTGATGACATTCAAAGTTCATTTACATTCTCTTTGTATAGCACACTGGATCTCGTACAAACGCACAGCAACGACTTATTTCATTCCAGGCCGTGAGAGTTGTTTTATCTTTCCCTGCATGAGGTATATGTGTCTAACTCAGGACAACCTCTTCGCTGCTCAGCCCTTATTTTCCTGGGACGTCTGATTGTTATCATTAATTCAAGGATTGATGCCCTATTGAACAAAACATTTTTGTAGCCTGTCTTTGATTTGGACTCGAGAGCTTTCCAAATTCTTTCATAGTGAGACTGAACTAAACCAAACCAAAACAAAGAGTCCCGTGTTCCTTGTTGACTGTTTTGCTAGTTTTTCTTCTCTTGTTTCTATCATACTTGAGATAAAATAATAAACATTGTCAAAACACATTGATATTGATAAAAGCTTATTGTATTCATTTTCGAAATCGTATAACAATGTTGAGCGTATAAATAGTATCTGTTTCAGTGCCTTGTGGCATTCGACTTGTTAATGTCAAGCAAAAACACACACTACGAGACCGAAGCACATCGCCCTGTGCACATTTAAAGACTCAAGCTGTGTTCAGATTCACAGGGTCCCTACGCAGTGTTTACTGCACACGTAGTAGGGAGTTTCTTTAAAGGATGATTATATGCAAATTTAAATAAACAATTTCTTCTCTAAATATTTTTATTATTGTCATCTCAGCAGTCATTTATCACTAAATTTAGGGGTTTAAAAGTAGTATGGCAAATTATACAAAAATAAAATATAAATATTTAAGTTTGATATATTTTATCAGTTTAAAAAAATTAATTTGAATATAGATATACAGACAGATAGACAGATTAGACATAGATAGATAGATAGATAGATA